TATATATATATATGTGAATATAGTTATTTTGCTCGATCTATTTCGTATCCTTTTATCAATTTTACAATTTTTGTAGGTAATGATATTGAGAAAGGAGATAAATTATATTGATAGAGATGGGCATTTATATATACAGAACTCGATTTTGTTTCGTTTTTTATTTATTGCAAGTCTTTCTATCTATATGTATTGAAGTGTTCTTTCTTCGCGCAATATTTCTAAGAAATTCGAATTCATGGAAAGATAAGTGCTATTTTTTTTTTAATCCGTATATGATTAATTGTTATCTTTGATAATATACGAGCTGAAAAAATAGGATGTTACTACGTCATTGTGGAATTTGTTAAAAAAATAACTTAAATAAAAAATTATCTTAATTGATAAACAATTGGAAAAATAAGAAATGCGAGATATTTATCATTATTTAGAAAATCAATATTTCTTTACATTAGAGGATACTTTAGAGGATACCTTACAGGATACATTAAAGGATTACATCTTCGATGATCTTGACCTTGACATATGTCATAGAGGTATAAGGGTATTAATTAAGCGACGCGATAGCGTCGCGACGCCAAGAGCATAAAACTACAAAACGCTTGATCGCTTGATGTGTGAATGTCATTGCATATATATTTTCGTGCCGTTGTCAATATATGTTCTCATTTTCTTATAAATTAACTCTCATACACTTTTCGAGATGTACTTATATAAAACTCATTTTCAAAATTCCGTTATTTTTTTCTGTATATATGATGGATAATGTACATAAGTAACCTTCCAAAGATTTTAGGTTGTTTAAAAGTTATCAACAAATAAAGTTAAAAAAAATGATATCTTATTTCTGTCACATACAATATTAAAAAACTACCCTATATCCTTCCTGTCTAGAGACGTTCGACTTTCCACGCGAAAGGAAATCTGCCTCATCTCCCTCTCTGTCATGGGGCATAAGACTTTTCACACGAAACGAAAGGAAGTCCATTCCAGTGACTTTCTTCTAGATAAGGGAGAGGAGATGGAAAGGATCTTGCTTTATGTGGAAAGTCGTATGCTCGTCGGTATAACAAAAGTAAGATATTATTCTTTAAGCTTTATTTGTTAATAATTTTTGAATACACAGTGACCGTCACTTAAAATTTTTTAAAGGTCACTTAGAGTTATAATCTTGATAACATATGTCAAGATCAAGATCATTAAAGGGGTGTCCTCTGTGAAGAAATACCAAAAAGTATTTAAACGGTTCTTAAATGTTATGTAATTCGAATTCTTGCTGGTCAGAAAAGGCTTTCTGCAGTATATTACTATCAATACATTATTTTTGCTTAAGTACGTATTTGAAAGAAGATTTTATTCTTTCTACTGAAAGAATTAAGTAACGCTGAATATTTAAATGATTCATTAACAATATATAA